ATCATCTCTTTTTCTAAATAAATAAGTATGTAAATAGAAAAAAGAACGCCCTTCTGTTATTGTATAAATCTGCACGGGGGCGTTGAGGCTGGTCGTGTCTTGCAACAGCCCTAGACACAATAATAATTCATGTCTCTCTGTATTTTCGGAGACGAAATTCCCAGTTGAGCTGGAACGTTTGGCTATAAAATTCATGAAGATACGTGGGACGACGTCCAATGAAAAGATAGTAAACAAGAGACAACAGATTATTTCAGGAATAATGACAAAAATTTCAACTATTTTCTGTGGCGTCGGGTAGTTTTTTGTTTGGGCGTGTGTCGGGTGGTGGCGGCTCGACTAAATATTTGACGAAATTTCGAACAAATTTTCGGGATTCTTCTCATCTCATAAGAACTTTAATTAATTATGTGCTTCAGGGGTAGTTTGAGACGAACTGAAATATTTAGGTACATCATCACGTTCTTATCCAGCGGGAGCTATTTTTACGACGTTTTTACACCCAAGAGATGAAGAAGGTGCTACAGAGTACATATTTAAACGTGGTCGCGGGTATTGTATGCTTCGTTTGTGTAAATGTTAGGCACAGAATAGAGAGAAAGTGCATCCAGGGTCTGTGGTCTTTGGATAACGGTGGTTAAAGTGCAAATTGTTCCAAATCCAAGAAACGAAACTGTGTTAAAGGGTTGTTTGTGACCGGTTAATTAATTACTCAAAATTCATGTTTCATTCTACTTTGTTTTTGCTTCGAAATGGTAGTTAAACTGATTTCATTATGTTTTGTGTTCATCAGTTCATAAGGTCAGAGCGGCATTCCTTTTCATCAAAGTTTGGAAATGAATATTAAAAATTCAACTTTGTGAAGTTTTTAATTATACAAACTCAATCTGTGTTCAACTATACCGTTTAATAAGTTTATACATTTTAATAAGTTCTTTTTTCCACCAGAAAAACTTCCCGAGTTAGCTTTTTTACGGTTCTTTGCAAATGAAAATCCTCCTTTTGAGACATACTAATTTCAGTAATTAATTTTCCTTCGAGAAATTTATAGAATTATGAATGATTTTAATTTTCTACGGCATCTCAGGTATTTATTATATACTCCTAGACGTTTTATTGTAGTTTTAATTAAAAAGAGGAAAATCTAATTAGCTTGATGCAAATTCTCACTATTAATTATTCAAGCGTACGTATTATGTTACGAACTCGCGAATATTCTCAAGATTAAAATAGAGTACGGCCAAGCAAAAACAAGTTAGGGTTGGTTGTGCTTTTAAAACTTAATTCCACTTCGTAAACGTTTGGAAGTTAACATGTTCGACGTAAATGTCATAAATAAGTGTGTTTTCGTTTAACGTGTCAGTTAATTTTAATCTAAAAACATGAGTTCGAGGGGCCGGAATCACCAACCGTAATGTGAAACCAAAGGAAATTTTATTGTATGTTATGTATTAAATATTTGATACTTCAAAAGTTCCTACATTACAACTCCCATGGGTATATTTATTTTCATTTTATATGGTCTTCAGAGTTGTACCTTTTAACTTTCGTGATTCTACTAACGTTCAAGTTGTTTCGATAAACGAAAACTAAACTCAGACATGTTAATTTAATTTAATGACTATCCAAAGAAGTTTGAGTTCAGTCATAAAAAATCTGTAATTTAATTAGCAACATCAGTGTTTTGCATGCATATTGGATCGCAGTTCTCAATTTTGCGTAACTATAAGATGTAGAAATGTCGAAACGTGCTGTATCTAAATTATGACTATTTAGAAATGGATCAGTTATAACTTATAACGAATCTCGTTACTACACGTTTTTGGAACGCCGTTTAGGTAATTAGAGGAGAAATAAAGTCAAAGTTAGGTCGTCATATTGTCATTTTTAAAGAGTTTGTAAATCTACAACTAGAAACTTTTTTTAATTGCATATATTTTAAAATCTTGTTTATTATATGATTAGGTTATTTGAACGTAAAATAGAAATGGCAAACGTGGTAAGGTCACAGTCGTTTTTACGAACGTTGTACTTATTTCTCACGGGTATAAAAGTTTGTAGCGCAAGCTGAAGAGCTGAAGGCGAGTTTGTAATTTATTAGTCAGAAATGTTGGTTCCACACTACTTTCTTTTAGTTTATGTTATAAAAGGCTCGACGTGTAATGGGTCCATTCCTTAATTGGTTAGGGTAGTAATTTGACAAAATCGATAAAACAATATTTCACAGATCTTTCACATAGAATTTTTGTGTAGTTTTATGTAACTTATTTTTTTGCGTGGATAATGTATTTGTAACATATGTATAAATATTTGTTTCCATTTGATTCATAACTAGATCTGGTTACAAATTAAATAAATAGCATAGCATCATTGGAGAGGGCAAGAAAACATACCCGCTTCAGCGGTAGATATACTAAAATGATGAGTTGTTTCAATTATGAATTGAGACATGTCATTCATAATTTGATTGATTTTAGAATATTTAATTTGTGTAATTGTACAAAAAAAGTTATTCTGGCGAAACTTATGTTTTGCGTATAACGAAATTTCCAAAAAAAAATTTTTAAAGAAAAGTTAGATACCCTTGTTTCTTATTCTAGTAGTTTTATAATTTAAATTGAAAAACATAATATCGTTTCAATTTTCTGTACACTTTCGACAATATCCGTCACTTCGGAGTTGAGAACCTATTTTGTCTTATACCCCAGTTGCCATGATTTTGAATTTTCACTTTTAAAAAGTTGGTCAACTACAAGGGCTTACATTTTGCCATTTTTTCTTAATATGTGTAGTTTTCTTTTCACGCCTACCCGTCCTATCTCAATTGTGATGATTTTTTTAGTCGTGTTAAGCCAAGGGGGAGGAGCTTAATTGTAAAATCCTTATTTCTCTAGAAGAAATAAAAAACATGTTTTTGAATAACGTATTGTTCAAGGAATACTATGTATATTAAGAAAAAAATTCATAACATTTACCCCACCCACCCACCCCATCTCAATTGTGATGATTTTTTTTATTCTTAGAAACTTAAAACACGTTTAAGATGGTGAATTTTTGTAGGAAAATATGGATTTTGCAATTAGGCTCCGCCCCTAGGTCCGGCAACGAATGAAAACTTGATTACTACATATTTAGTTTAGGGCAAGTATGGGTGGGGCTTAATCTTTGGCTTTTTTTTTAATATACAAAGTATTCATTGAACAGCACGGTGCTCAAAAACATGTTTTTAATTTCTCATTTAGAAATAAGGATTTTGCAGTTAAGCTCCGCCCCCTTGGCTCACGACGAATAAAAAAAATCATCCCAATTGGGATAGGGTGGGTGGGGTGGGCTACATTTTGCCTTTTTTTCTTAATATGTGTAGACTTATTTCGACAACAAGAAACTTAAAACGTATCTAAAGTGGTAAAAATTTATTACTATTATTATTAATATTATTATATATGTAAGTCAACGGGTGCAAGACCCAATTACAGACTAACAAAAGAAATGGGAGTAAATGTGTAATCAGTAGCTAAAATTACTACTTTATCCCATTTTAGAATATCTGTTGTAGTTATGTTATTGTTTCTAAAAATTTGTTTTATATTTTTCTTGTGTTTTTGAAATTTACTTTCTATTAAAATTTGTGGTTAGTAATTTAGGCTTCACCTTTAAATTTGTAGGCTGCTGCAATTTTCAGATATTAAGCATACTCTTTAAATCAAATTTTTACGAAATTATTCTTCAGTTGACGAACTTACATTCCACTTTTCACGAAGTTGTCAAAAATCAACCACTGAACATCGGTAGAAATATTCTTTGATTGTTGTAAGTTACTAAATTTAGATTAAACATTTCGAATTGTATTTGTTGCTAATAAGCAATTTGACTATTTTGCAGTGTCAAAATTAGTAAAATTTATTTGCATTCACTATTATCTTTCATAATAATAATGATTAGTTTATAGTGATTTTATATTATATTTTCTACGAAATTGTGCTCTACAAGAAAATGTTATTACTTTAGAGTTACCTTATTATGTTTACCATTAGTAGATGTAATAATATTATAAGAAAGTTCCGCTATAGGTATTTTGCCAATTAGTTAGGTTATCTATCTATTATATACGTCTGTGAAAATGATAAGGATCCCAAGAACCAAAAAAAGTGCCCAGCATGTGCGTTATTTTTCTTTATTTAACAGAAGATCTCCCGTATCTAGCCGTATCCGTGATTGCTTGGTTCCCCTAATTTCGTTTTAGGGGCATTTGGTCGATTTCGTTTCCTTCTTTCTGCGCTTCGTTTTCCATTTTGGTTAACGTAACGTCAACTTTCATATAAATTTTACTTTTATTTACTTTGTTCTGCATTTTATTGATACAGTCTATGTACGTTTTTCATGAAAAGAGAAAGTCAAATGATTAGATTATAGCCTTAGAAAATTGTAAACTCATTTTTTTAAAAATGTATGTAAGCGTTTACGATTTACATGAAAATATTACGTCACGCTGTATGTATTTACCGACAATAAAACTTTCCAAATTTTCTTGTTTCAACACTGTCAGCATTAAAGGACAACCAAAACAAATTACTCCTGTTTTATATGTTACGTAGCGCTCCGATTCGACCTTAAAAGTCGAAAAAATTCCAAAGAAATGTTCTAGGTTTAGTTTCCTACCCGCGTTCATCATTTGTTGTATTTTTCGTAAAGACAAAAAACAGTGTGCGTAAAAGCATGATTTTAGACTTTTACATTAATGGAACGTGCTTTTTTAAGTTCCCATTCGTCAGATTTTTACGTAGTGCTCTCCACGAAATGAACACAAACATAATACATAAACCCCAACACCGAAACATTTTCGTGCAAATCTCGACACATTATTATCGTGATCAAGATTTAATATTTCTATTCGAACAGTAAAATGTAACATAATTCTTAGTTTTCAACGACATACACAAACATTTTTCCTTCAACATTGATTTTCAAACTGATTTTAAAATTGTATGTATTTGTTGCAGACGTTTCGCCATGGCTTCCCTTTTCAACCTACGGCAATGGCATTTGACCCCGTGCAGCGATTACTAGCCATCGGTTCGAAATGTGGTTCCCTCAGGATGTATCCTTTTTCATTAGCTTTTAAATATATTCAGGAACATACTTTTTCACGTCCATATTAAATGAAGAATCTAAAATGCCCGAAAGGTCAGTATGCCTCCTAGCTGTTGTTTATAATTGCTTATTTAGATTTTTTTGTTGTTGTCGATGCTCCGAATATTTTATTACAAAAACTCGAATATTAAAAGCCAGTGTTTAAAGTTGTTATTACTGTTTTATAAAAATACGCCATACCACAGTAAAAATACTTGTCCGGAACGTTTTTGTCGCCTGGACGTTTTATCTAAATACTAGACGCGACATAAAAGCCATAAATAAGTGGAGTTTTTTTATTCGCGTCGAAACGTCATTTCACATACAATGGCGCCGTTATTGATTTTGTTTGTCTAGTGATAACGCTTTGAAAGCAACAAACTACATCTCTGCACAACTTTTAATGAACACACTTTGTAAATGGGTTTTTTTTAACCTGAAACTAGTTGATGCTGGTGTTTTGTCGTATTTTTGTTTTCTCCATTTCCCTTGTATTACGACGACACGATAAATCTAAAAGCATTTTGTGAAGACTGAAGAGATGGCATCAACAGGATTTTTCCGGCGAATCAATTTCTTGCCGTCAGTGGAGCTTCAAATATTTATCTACCACTTGAATATGTCAACTTTTTTCTTATCTCTCCACATGAAACGTCCACTATCGACGTGTGTCAGACCCTTATAATGTCCAACAATAAAGTCAAAGAGAATGGAGCGAGGCAATAGATTTGACGAAAGTATCAGAAAACGACGAAGTACCTACAGATAATAAAAAAGTTGAACGTGGAATAAATTCCGTTTTACCACATGCTGACCTATTTCGTTCGACAAGTAAAATAAAACTTTATTCGTGTTATATTCTAAAGGTTGAGCAATAAAGTTAATGAAAAAGTATGGACTACGGGGTACGGAAAGTTTACAAGTACATCTGCATAAAGTCGGCAGAGCTTGTTGCCATAAAATGGTTTAAGTGAGTTTTGCTTCGTATTTTGCTGAAATGGTTTTCTTTACATAGGTTGGTTACCGCAGGAATTTACTTGTTGTCATATTTTTATCACTCATACATGTTTTACTCGGTTTCATAGAGCTTTTTGCTGATCAACATTTTGCTCGTCTGAATGGGAAACATTGTTTTAATGTATTCACACACATGAGCTACCGGCGCTTCAAAAAAACTCCCCTCTGCGTAGGATTCGTATTAAAGTTGTATGTGTCCAATTTAATAATGCGACAGCTTAAAAGCTTAACTCTACGTTTCGTACTTAAATAAATTGACAGGTAGTTTGCGCATTTGCGCAATCTGTCTACAATAAATTTTGTGAAGAATAACAGTCATAAAATATAATACATTTGGTGTATAATTGGTTCCGAAAAATAATCGTTACACAAATTTCATTGCACAATGGATGTAGACATCGCCTTAACTAACGAGATTTACTTCAGAATTGTTTTATGCAAAAATCGAGAGTTATAAATGTGTGTGATGAATTTGACACGACGTAAGAAATTCAGTTTTCCGATTTCAAAACGTGAGATCTTTATCAGACATGTTTTCTTTAAATATTCACAACGTAGACACGACTGAGTTGTTTTCATTAAAATTGGAAGAACTTTTTGTCAAACAACATACCCATGTCCATATTATAATTTCCACAGTTAAAAAAATCTTAATCTTTACGTAACTTTTTTATGACTCCACCGAAATGTGGCTGGTATTTTTTAAGAATGTTAAGCAAAGTTTCCAGATTTAAAAAAAATGGCATGCTTTTTATGAAGAGAAATTTTTGATTGTATCACACCGTCAGAACTATTATACTCGTAAACAGTCGAGTCAACGGGAAATAAAGCAGATTTTGATTTTTATTAATATCATTACTCAAAAGTTGGTTACAATAAATGCTCTACCATCGTTTTGCGTAATTATCGAAATGATCAGAGGCTAATTAATTGGGAAAAATTGTCGAATAGTTTCAGTTTGCTTTAATTTGCATTTAATTTTTACTCGTTTGCTTTAATCTGTAACGAATTTAGATTTGCACTACATTGTATCGTTTTGTTTTGTATAAACCAAATACTGGGTAGAGTAGTAATTTAGCAGCAATTAAATCCGCTTGGGTAAAGCGTTGCGCAAACAATTTCGGTTTCACAAAAACGAATAAAAAGCACTCTAAAACGGCTTTTCTTATGTCGGGTAATAGAGCTTTCAATCATTGGTATTTTTCCGCACTAATTGCGATTTTTGCTCACTCAGCGAAAAGTTTTTCTTTGAAATGTCGTCGATTTAGATCGATTGCAAGAAACATTACCCCAATTGATTATGAAAGCTATGAATAATTCAGGCCGTTTTAATTAGGATTAGCATGTTGACTGATACAGAAGAGCAGCGACAAATTGTCGCTTTTAATTGGATGCTTGGATAAATTCCGCATATGAGCACGTTTCTGAGAAATCCCCGAACACGGGGTTCGAAAATTTGACGGCCTTTTTCATTAATAACGAAACCAACAACAATACAACAAAAAGTAAAAAATGAAGGTAACATGTGTCAAAATTGACGTCAAGAGTACGAAAGACAAAGCACGTATGAAACAATGGTTTGCCGGCTCTCGGCGTAGCTTGGATTGTTAAAAATATTGATTACATGTTTCGTCCTCATCAACTCCGGATAAAATGGCACGCGATTCGAATAAAATTTTGGAGAAAATTGAACCATTACAATAAAATGAAATCTAAATAACAAATGGTCTTTTTAATAGCTGCGCTCAAAAACAACCATTTTAAATTGTTCTTTTCTTTGCGCTGTATTACATTTTTATAATACATTCGGCGAAATCGCCGTGAATTTTCCTTTAATACACATCGACGGAAATACTGGAATACGGGATTTGTAGGAACTAATTTATGACCTGTATTTTTTATGTTCATTCTTTGTGAAACCATTATATGGCTTGTAATTCCACATCAGATATTAAGAGTTTCTGTTATCAGATGATCACGTAATTTACTCGTTCCACTTTATCACATGAACACATTGTTGAAATTTAACAGGGATTGGTCAGATGGAAACTTTATGGGTTAATAAACTCCATAAATTACTGAAAGCCTGAAATTTATGTATTTCAATATGCGCACGACAGTAATCTTGGACGACCATAAATATTGACACACATAATTCTAGGACGATTCAAGAAAATTACGATAATTTTTATGAGCCATTTTAACACTTGTCACGTATGGGCTCTGCCATCAAAAGATATAATAATGAAAACGAATAGTGCGAGAAACGACCGACTTTTTCACAATTTTCTCGTGATAATATTTCTTTAATGGAGGCTTTTTGCGTGACGATTTCGAAACTTCAATTTTTAATACAAAGTTTCACAGGATAAGAATTGTCGCTCGAACTTCTCTTCGCAACTCCACACTTTTTATTTTATGTGCAATATTCAGGAGCTTAGTTTTATTACCGGAACTTCAGCCTTTATACATTTAAATGAATGTAAAATAGAATTCAATCGTTCTATCTCTAGCTTGCAATTTGTAGTAAAACCTATTCTTAGAAACTAGTAAATCGTCGCCCTTGAATTTTACATAAATATTTTAAAACTTTTGAGCTTGCACTGGAAACTTTAAATTTAGTTATAGCAATCCGGGAGGTGCAGTGGAATAGAATTAAACTGAGCTTTCACATAGTTGTGAACGGATGAATTCTCACGCCAATACCTTTTTCCTATATGACAGCTATTTTGAATCATACGTCTCACTTATCAGGAAGATTCACAATTCAACTCTTTTGAAAAATTTCATTCACGCACAATTACATGTGGCGGTATAACGAAGAAATATATTCCACGGTGTCGTCAACTGAACTTTAAAAATAAAATTTTGTCAGATGCTACTACTTAAAACGCTGTCTTTGTCCCTGTAGATTCCAGGTTCAGGCCACATAAATTTCTAATTAAGTGTAATTAATGACCAATTTACAAGGAATTAATTACCTTATTTTAGTAGATACAATATAACTTTACCGAATAAATCACAACTAGTTAGGAACCTGTTACATTAAACTGAGCTTTTATTTTCAAATTAATTAAACTTGCGCAACTAACACTAAAACTAAAACCATTGGTTGCGCCCAAAAAGTTATATATGAATAATTATTATTGGGTCTTTTTTCTTTATAAAATTACGTTGCTTGCTCTGTCCCTAAATTTGATTAACGCCATGACACAACGTCTGTGATTTTTAGGTTCCCAATTACATTTCCTAAGCAAACAGCAGGTAATTGGCGGTTAAGTCACCACATAAAATCCCCGTTAATTCTCTTTGATCCCGCAAAGCTCTGTGATCTCGTCCAATAAAATCCTTACGTGATAATGCGGTTGATTTTGGCATGCAGGATTTAGCGTAAGTCGACCGGTTCGTTTACATTCTAAAAAACGTTTCATTATTTAAATTCAACCATATCAGATATGACCCTGCCAGAACGTTGTGGCAGTCACTCGTCCAACCTCACTTCTACCACCGGAAATAACGTTAAAGCGGTTTTACGACTTTTGCTTTAATATTTTAAACGGTTGGCTCTTTTGAACGCAATACCTCAAGTTCACTTCGAAACTTGCTGGAGTTCATAATGGGACACTTGATGAAAATGCATGATGTTATATGCGTGGATATGCTGAAATATTGTGGACGGAAGTTTCAAATTCTTTAACTGAATTTGGACTTCGTAAGGAATGCCGAAACAGGAATATAATGCACTGCAGGAGCGTAACTAACAAAAACGTCTAAACAAGGTTATGTCGACGCTATATTTTGTAACATAATTTAAAGGAAGCGGATAATAGGGAGACAAGGGATAATTTAAAGAACAAAGACTAGCAAAACTGTGAAATAAGCAAGGGATCGTTATCGAATTTACGTCATCCGGCACGATACAAAGAATTAAACTCAAATATGTCAGGTGTT